AGGAGGAGGAGGGCAGCTCAACACCCCAAAGCGTCGCTTCCTTCTTGCCCCGGGTTATCCTAAACGGCGCTCCTGGGCCACACCGCGGGATCATCCGACAGCAGGCGGGCGACACAAAAGGGTCCGCTCTTGCTTGCCTTTGCTTAAGAAAGGAGCCAAGAAAAAAAAAAGGCAGCTCTCACAAATGCGTCCTCCACCAGCACCACCAGCACCTCCACCCTTCTTCTTCTTCTTCTTCTTCTTTAGCGAAGTGCAAAAAGTGTTGTGTGAGCTAAACCGCAGAAGCCTGTGCTGCAGGGTCAGAAGACAAGCAGTCGTAAGATCAAATCCATGCAATGGAGTGAGCTCCCATTGCTTGTCTCAGCTCCTGCCAACCTAGCGGTTCGAAAATATGCAAATGCAAGTAGATACCCGAACAGCAGCGGGGCGGCTCGTCCCGCCCGCCGGCATCTCCTCCAGCCGGACAGTAGACCGCGCAGGCGAAGCCTCTCTCCTCGCTTGCTTCCTTTCCCAACACCGGGGGACGAACACAAAAGAGAGCCAGGGACCAACGGACGGGGCGCGTGTGTGCAAAACTTCCAAGGGCCGCCGCCGCCGCCGCCCCTTCCTTCGTCTTCTCCTCCTCCTCCTCCTCCTCCTCCTCCTCCGCCTCCGCTAGCCCGCCCGCCCGCCTGCCCGCCAGCCCCTGGTGGAGGAAGAGCGTCGTCGTCGTTCCACGCCGCCAGGCTGAGGGGCTGGACACCCGGCTCTCGGCGGGGCTCTCCGCAGCCCGTGAAGTTTCTGGCGTCACGCTGAGGCAGGCGAGGGCGCGCACTCTCCTTTTTTCGCCTCGCTGCTGCAGGTCTGATGCCGCCTCAGGACACCTTAAAGGAGCCGCACGTCTCCCAATGCTCCGGAAGCGGGAGGGAGCCCCACACCGAATCCTGCCTCAGCAGTTGCAATCCCTTCTCTCCCACGCCAGTTTCACCTTAGCTCATTTATGTGTAACTTTGCCACGATGGCGAAGAGTTAAATAGCTTTTGTAATTGGACAACAAAGGGCGATGCGCTTTGGGGAAGCAGAAGCCGTGGAAACAGACCGTTGCGGTTTGCTTTTGGTTTTCTTTAAAACCTTTGCTTCCCCGGTCTTGGAAAATGGAACTTCCCAGCGTAGGACTTCAAAAAATCCGCCCGGGTAACAATTGTAACCCTTTCGCTTCTATAAAGTTGAAACCAGATTCCAGTATTGGGACAAAGGCAGAAGCAAACTTCACATGTAGATGGTGCTTGTTTGTTTGTTTGTTTTGGTTTAGTTTGGTTCTTACGGGAATTAAAGTTTATACTATAGATCCACTCCAGTCAAAATATAGGGGGCAGAGGTCTTTGTAACTAATGAGATCAGAAATAACTTCCAACTTCTATAGACTCCAGTAGAGAGCATAATATTTTGCTATTATGCTGACCATCTGTAACTGAGGAGGAGTACTCTAATGCCCCACCAAAACCATGAATTTAAGACTGACTTCTCATGTATTGTCTCAGCAATTTTTAGTCTGTAAGGTGCCCAGAGTTGCAATGTAAAGCTACAGATGGGAATCTGAGAAAAAGTGGATTGTTCAAAAAGACTGGGCTATCTGAGGATATCCCCTGTCCTTTTCTGTCACAGCACTATTATGGTTTCTCATATTTTGTACATGTTTCCCCATCTTCTGAAAGACTGAAATAATTTTCTTAAGTTTTAATTACTATCAGCCTGAACTCTAAGCTAAAATACTGTGGTATTCTGAGCCCCCCAGTTTCACTGTAGGAATGCACCCCTCAAAAAAATTGTTGTGAAATTGAATTACCGTAATCTCTCAGGCGACAATCGGCTTCTGACCCTTGGCTTGGATTTCAGCTCCCAGGATTCCACTGCTGTGGTGGCTGCAACTCACAGAAAATCCTGCAGGTCTAGAGGACCACACTTTGTTCATCCTTCAGCAATGTTTGTCAGAATCAACTCATACAGTAGTTGCCCACTTCCATCAGGATTTGGATTATACGGAGCCAATGTACTCCTCATTTCTATTGATTTTGTTGTCTTTGGAGAGAGAGACAATCGGCTTCTGTTGAATAACACACAGCTAATAATTTGTGCACTCCTGTTGAAGACTAGCCATGCCATTAAAAAAGGGCCGGGGGGGGGCTGTCTCACATGATGGAACAGAGGAGCAACCTAGTCTACCCCAACTGTTGAAGTGTCCACCTCCTACTGCTTCAAAGAGCCTTGATCTCCATAAAAGGCCACCAGTGCCCCCCCCCATCACTGCTTCTGAGATATCTTTCCTCAGAGCAAGGTGTCATTGGGCAGGATGTCTTGCAAAATTTCCTGTACCATCATAGCAAGGGGAGGTGATATGGAAGTAGACAAAATGTGACTATCTTGATGGTTTTGGCCTGTATCTCTAATCAGCAATTGTGAGGAATGCTAAAATTTACAGTCCAATACCATTTGGAAGCGACCAACATGAATCAATGGGGATTTAGTGAGTCCTCAGATTTTAGATTAGGCATCCTTCAGTCTCGAGAGACTATGGTAACGTGCTCTGAAAAGAGGACTTGGAACAGCATCTACTGTGGCTGAGAAGGCCAATTCGAGAGTGACAACCCCTTCCACACTGAAGACAAATACAATCTGTCCCCTGCCCAGCTCTCAGATTTTGCTGCTTTTGGGACTGCCTCTTTGCCTTGGCCTGCTGGACAAGGGTCTCTTCAAATTGGGAGAGGCCATGATGCACCGCCTGCCTTCAGGCTGAATGCTCAGATGTCAAGGTTTCCCATCTGTTGAGGTCCATTCCTAAGGCCTTCAGATCCTGTTTGCAGATATCCTTGTATCACAGCTGTGGTCTCCCTCTGGGGCGATTTCCCTACACTAATTCTCCATACAGGAGATCTTTTGGAATCTGACCATCAGCCATTCCCATGACATGCCCAAGCCAATGTAGACATTGCTGTTTCAGTAATGTATACATGCCAAGTGATAACAAAAATGCATTAGAGACAACGCATATGGAAGGTGTTCAGCTTCCTCTCCTGCCATGCACAAAGGATCCAGGACTCACTGCATTACAGGAGTGTACTCAGGACACAGGCTCTATAGATCTGGATCTTGGTATATGTTCTCAGCTTCTTATTAAGCAATACTGTGAGTCTAGAGAACATGGTAGCTGCTTTGCCAATGTGTTTATCCAGCTTGACATCTAGGGAGAGAGTGTCGGAGATTGTTGAGCCAAGGTACACAAAGTCACGAACAACCTCCAATTCTTGCATGGAGATGGTAATAGAGGGAGGTGAGTCCACGCCCTGGCCCATGACTTGTGTTTTCTTCAGGCTGATTGTTAATCCAAAGTCTTGGCAGGCCTTGCTAAAACAATTTATGAGTTGTTGGAGGTCTTCAGCAGAATGGGCAGCAACAGCTGCATCACTGGCAAAGAGCAAGTCTCACATGCATTTCAACTGGACTTTGGTCTTTGCTCTCAATCTAAAGAGATTAAAGAGCTTTCTGTCTGATCTAGTCCAGAGGTAGACACTTTCTGTTGTAGTTCCAAAGGTGTGCTTCAGCATGACAGCAAAAAAAGATCCCAAACAGGGTCGGCGCGAGGACACAGCCCTGTTTCACTCCACTTTGGATGTCAAAGGGATCTGATATTGAGCCATCAAAAACTACAGTGCCCTTCATTCCCTCATGAAAGGACATGATGATGTTAAGGAGTTGAGGTGGACATCCAATCTTGGGAAGTATTTTAAAAAGGCCGTCCCTGCTAAACAAATCAAAGGCCTTTCTAAGATCTATGAAGGCCACAAAGAGTGGCTGTCATTGTTCCCTATATTTCTCCTGCAACTGTCGGAGGGAAAATACCATGTCAGTGGTGGATCTATTAGCTCGAAATCCACACTGTGATTCTGGATAGACTCTGTCTGCAAGCACCTGGAGTCTTTTCAGCACAACACGGGCAAGCAGCTTCTCTACAAAAATGAGAAGAGAGATGCCACAGTAGTTATTGCAGTGGCCCCTGTCACCTTTGTTCTTGTACAATGTGACGAAGTTTGCATCCTTCATGTCCTGTGGTACTTTACCTTCTCTCCAGCAAAGACAGAAAATTTCATACAGCTCAGTGGTGATGATCACTTTATAGCACTTCAGCACTTCAGCAGAGATGTTATCCTTCCCAGGAGTCCTCAGTAAGTTCATTGATTCAAATAGTGCTACTCTAGTTGCAACTTACTGTGCTAAAATAAGTCACACCAAGAGTCAGCCCATTTGAATCAATGGTCCTTTTGAAGAAGTTGATGCACCAAATCCTCACTGATTCAATGGGTCTGCTGTAGTGCAATTTACTATATTAAGCAAAGGTTTTTGTCCCTGAATTCAATGGAATTTATTCCAAAATACATTTTTTTCAATTGGTGACACAGAAATGCAGCACAGATTTCTGTTTGGCTTTTCCTGTACAAATGCATGGATATTAAATAGTACAGTGTCGCTAACCTGAAGACTACGGCTGGTGTCCTTTTGAGTTTCTGCTCAGTGGAGATTCCCACCAGCATATTAATTGTGAGACTGTGGTGCTTCTCCAGGCTTTGCCCTTATGCAAGGAGTAAACTCCAGAGGAAAACCTGCCCGTTGGCACAATGCCATTGTTTGTACAAATGAAAGACCATATTACTATGTTAGCAGAAGTTTCCAAGCTTGGCAGGATATTGGCCTAAGTTTTCAGAACTTTCCAGAAGCAGAGGGTGGAAAAAATAGTGTTCAGCATGAATTGGAATACAAATTCTGTTCTCCTTCATACAGTCAAATTTTGATGCTTGACTCAGAACTTGTCAATTTGAATTTAACACCTCAGTCTGAGGATATAAGAATACAAGATCACCTGAATGGACTAGTAGGTAATTTTTGTGAGATGTGTGATACCATT